CCACAACACCAACCCGCATGTATGAGGGCCCGGTACGACGCTCCGGTGGCATTGCTACCCCCGAGGGCCCCCGTCCCGACTAACCCTGGAGCGGTTGACCACAAGATCTATCCCTTTGACTTCACACGGATGGGCTTTGACCAGTGGACCTCTCCACCCGGTTGTGTCAGGTCCGCCCATAAGGACACCGGGGAGCAACATCCGGGCCAAACCAACAGATACATCCACTCCATGTAGACCTGACGCGTCAGTTCCCCCCCTCCAGGTGCCGGCGGACGGGGCCGCACGCCGGAGATGTGTGCCGCCTCTTCGGACATGCCATAACACCACCCGGTTGTGGTAGGTCATCCGATATATATAAACACTTGGAGCAAAGTCCCCTTCGTATAGACCCGATGCGGCTGTTCCCCATTCCAGGTCCCGGCTGGCGGCGGCACCGTTCATGAGGGGGGTCACACCGCTCTGTACAGAACCAAAAAATAATGTATGCATGCTTATTAACACATACGATATGTAAGTTAGTCAAATAATAATAATGAAGAAAACAGTGAAGAAAAAGAAAAGAAAACTATATGTATTCTTATTAACACATACTATATGCTTATTAACATACAATATGCTTATTAACACATACTATGTGTATGCTTATTAACACATACTATATGTAAACTTATTAATACATACTATATGCTTAATAATAATAATAATATATGGAAAAAAAGAAAAAAATATATGCCTGCGGCCAGGGCAGATGGACGGCGCGCCGCGGATCGATGACGTGTCATCTATGCCGACGGCTGCCGTCGGCATAGGTCCTGGTCGATGCGCTCTGGATCGGTGCGTGTCCCCCGTATCTATGTCGACGGCCACCCGTCTCGGCCGTCGGCATAGATCGGACGCCGTTAGCTGCACGGCACGAGCGGGATCGCCGGGCCCGCAACTATGCCGACGGCCCATGTATGCCGACGGCCGCTGTAGGCGTAACTTGGGATAAGCCGACGGCTGATTTGGGCCGACGGGGGCCGTCGGCATAGCCCGGGATAGCCCGACGGCTTTATTACGCCGACGGCCTGGACATGGCTGTCGGCATAGCCCAGACTGGACCGACGGGGGTCGTCGGCATATATATGGCCATCGGCATAGGGCCCTGTTCCGGTAGTGAGGCGGGGTGTTAACCATAATACTTTGTATCCGCTTGCTGCTACATTTTGAGATAATAAAAACGCCCTTTATCAAAAAATCAACTTTGTACACATGATGTGGTGCATTTTTGTCTTCAAAATCTCTAGTTTTTCAAAACGGATATTTTTTTTGAAACGGTTCAAAATCTCTAGTGGTTGTCTCGTGTAAACATCCTCCTCTAGAACATCATGTAGAAACACAATCTGAAAATCTGTTTGGTATCATGGTTTTGCGATTGACTATCGCCGTGGTGGAGGTGGACAAGCTTTGGAGCAGATCATTAGTGTTGGTGAACAAATGATTTTTACTCAATAATAAATCTCACTCCTACAATAAATAGTTCCACACAACTAACATCGAACTCGTGCACTTACAGTAAATAATGAACAAGCACTAATTGAGGACATGACACTTCTTCCTGATCTCTCCCTCGGCCCCGGTGAGTACGTCCACGTCGCCCATCTTGATCATGGACTCGCTGAAGTCCCTGAAGAACTCGCTGTCGAACTTGCCTGTGGCGATACGCTGGACGCAGTCCTTGGTGGTGGCGTCGAAGAGGAGCGCCGCGTCGGAGCGGAAGAGACCCCTCCGCTTGGCGACGTGGCGGTAGTAGCTGGTATCAGAAGTCTTGAAGCTACCAGGGTCCATCTCAGACAGCATAGTGCGGTCATCAACGCTCTTGCACTTGAGCCTCAGCTTGTCAGCGTACTCGCTGTCCAGAGACGGGTCGACGAGGCCAGAGGTACCGTTCTCGCTGGTGGTGGTGTAGAGGCGGTCGGCGAAAGACGGGCAGTACGCCGTGCCGAGCGTGTGGGCGCCGGAGAGGACGACGAGGTCCTTGAGGTCGAGGCCCCTGGAGGCAAAGATCTTGGCGAGCAGAGGGACGTCGCCGGAGGCCGGGGGCAGCTCGTTGCTTGCCTCCGTGGCACTGGACACCCTACCGTCTCTCCTTCCCAACGCCACCGGCCAGAAGGGTCCTTTAGCCAGCACGACAGCGTCGCGGGACATGAGGGTGAGCACGTCGGCGCAGGAGACGATGCCCGGGCACGCGGCCTTGAGCTTGGCCTTCACCCGCTCCACGGAGCCGAACCCTCGCAGGCTCTTGTTCGGCTTGGCGTCCTTCTCCGCCACGTTGCCGTCGGTGGATTCGAGCAGGACAGAGGCATCACAACCCTGCAATTTAATATGCGTTGCATGCACAGACATGTAAGCATACATTCCATGATCAATAGCAGCGGAATTACAAGAACGGGTAAGTTATGTACCCTGACGAAGCAGTCGTGGAAATGAAGACGGAGGAGCGGGCCGGCGAGGCTGGGCGCGGCGGCGATGATCTTGGCCATCTCCTGGCGGACGATCTTCTCAGCGTCGGGGCATGTCTTGCTGTAGAAGCCGATCTCTAGATTAGCCACCGTGCCGAGCTAGCTGCGAGAGCCAGCAGGGCCAGAGGGAGCAGCAAAGACCTGATCGCCATGGACCTTAACCAATTACAGGATCAAATTAAGCTCCAATTATGGGGCTACAGAAAAGAATGTTTCAGTGGTAGTAGGATCTATGTCGAGGAACTGGACGGATGGTGTGTACATGTCCTCGCAACTCCCTGTATTTATACATACTAGTGGTTGGGGCGCGCCCGTGGCGCGCCGCTTGAGCGGAAGCAAAGGCGGTGCCAAGTAGGACGCGCCCCTTCTACTATCCTATTTAAAGTAGTGTGTTTTGTATACATGTAATGTTGCTATGAAAAGACTGATATTTATAGTAGAAGAAACCAGCGGAAATGCAACACATCTAGATCTCTGTATATTTATTGATGTATCATGTGAAAGAAACTAAAATTTCCTGTCAGGTTAATAGCATCAGGAGCATATATCTTGCTGTTTGGCAAAATAAGATATATCAATATAAATTGTGCGCTTGTCCGCCCCGGTAGCAGCGAGCCCTTGATGCCTCCCTCCAACCATATGGCCCACAACGAGAGGAGCACGCTCGCCTAGTCCGCTATGCGCTACATCACCTAGTGCATGTTGCCGATGAGTCGCCACATCCTTGCCCGCCTATACATACAAGACAGCAACAAGAAACATCAAAAACACATGCGGCAGCAGTGTTCTTGGGGATATCAATCGAGCACACTATAATACAAACACGTACATTTGGATGAGCTCGGCGAGCTGCGGGCTCATCATGGACGGCGACGACCCTCTGGAATAGGGCGTTGACGGAGGCGAGGGAGATGTTGAGCTTGATCCGGTGGTCACTGATGGCAGCTTTGGTCCTCTTGATGGCGAACGACTCCGCACCATTGGCGCCCTGGCTCCTCAGCCGTGCACACTTCTTCTCGTACAACAGCCGGACACGCTTCTGCCTGCAAATGCATTCCATTTCATATTTTTGGCTTGACTGGTTCTAAACTTCTAATGATTATACAAATTCTTGGAGAAGCAAGTGGTACCCTGACTTTTAGGCTATCCTTGTGGCTCTGGAAGAGCAGGAATGGCTCCGACAAAGCTTCACAAACGCCAACTTGCACGTCGCCTTGGTTCCTCTTGGAGCAGTTGGTTGGACTGTATGTACAGGATAGCAATGATCAATGCTACAGTCTAACTTGTACTTATATTCCATGAATCTGTTTTCTCAAATCAGTTATCAAAAGAATAATCCTTAATTTTAGGCCACCTCATTTTGTTTCAGAGCTTCCATACGAAAGAGACAACAATTAGGAACAAAAGGAAATACTTGTAAAAAATTAGAAAACCTGCTTCATGTTCTTCTTTGCTGCAAGGACTTTCTTCATCAAACATCAATCCATCAAGGGTTCCATTCCGAATTCAAGTTTCTTGCTTCTAAAAACAGTTGTCATTCCTACGTAAACCTGAGAAAACACAACTGACCTCAAGCGTGATATATATGCATAGATTAAACCCGATCCATCCATGGAAACACCCATTTCTTCGTTACAGGGGGTATATATGAATCTGTAAAACGTTGAGCTGCTTGGACTTCTAAACATCAGCTACCAACAATGGTAGAAGGTTCAGTAAAAAGAGTTCATCTAGAGGAAGCAAAAAAAAATCAGAAAAACATCCAGAGGATGTAAAGCATCAGGATGCAACTAAGGCGGTAAGGTGCGCTACTAATTAGGCTACCATACTTGTTGCTTTTTGGCGCTGTGGGATGGCATGTGCATAAGCAGTATTACTAAACTTATTTTAGCAAGAAGATAGGCAGTACAGATGAGTGACAGGTCCATGTTGCAGGTTAAAATCACATTCAAAAACCAAAGCAAGTTTAGGGGTTTGATATATATTAATAGTCTTGTATTAACAGAGAAGCAGCAGTCTTAAAGGGATCAGAAGTAAATGAATGAATGATCCCTCATGCTTTATCAAACTTGTAATTCTTCTTTGTTATCTTGATTCAAAATGTTTCATGATGTCGCTTAATTTATACTACAGATTTTCTCTACCATGGGAATTTGCTAAGAATAGAGATTGACCCTGAAGCAAATCGATAGTTAACTTAACTGAAGCTAGGTCCTATTTCCTGAACCAAAATCAAATAAAAAGTACTCCCTCCGTCCAAAAATACTTGTCATCAAAATAGATAAAAGGTGATGTATCTTGAACTAAAATACATCTAGATACATTGTCTTTTATTCATTTCGATGACAAATATTTCCGGACGGAGGGAGTAGTTGATTGCCAAGTACAGATTTTGCCAAGTACGACAGGCAAACAAGTTGCTAATTGCAAGTGCTAGCCAATTTATCTACTACCATTGCTACCTAACGAGTTATGCAAGGGTGGTTAGCTTGTACCTGTCAGCTTCTGTTCCCTAACATGGATTCTAGTTACTGGAATCATTTGTGGCAATAATGCAAATTCTAAAAGATGAGTGCTGCAATGTCAAGTGTAGAACAACATATTCAGAAGCACGACACTCACCACACTTGCCCTGATTCTTAAGTGAATGCAAGAGCCATGAGCACTGTGGCAGACTGTTAATCCAAAGGACAACAACAAAATTCTAAAGAACTAAAGGAAGTTGGTGTGGCTCACATTTAGCTTTACTTGAAGACAACAAATCTTCTTATGACCAGACTATAAAATACCAGCAAGCCCATCTAGCCCAGCGCCAGCGAGATCTGAATGCCGAGTTCTCTAAACAAAGAAGAGGACAATCCTTAGCGATCTAGAAACTGTTCAGTTCAAAAAGACATAGTAGTACAGTAACATTTTGAGGTAAAGAAATCATTAAATAAGGAAAACTTGTGATCTGGAAACTTTTCAGTTCAAAAATACATAGTAGTACAACAACAACTTGAGCTGAAGAAATCTTTAAGCAAGGAAAACTTGGGATCTGGAAACTTTTCAGTTCAAAAAGACATAGTAGTACAGCAACATTTTGAGTTGAAGTAATCTTTAAATAAGGAACACTTGCTTTGGTGATGTCCTTGTGTAAGAATTCCAAATAATTCCAAATCTTTATCGTACTTTGAAAAAGGCAGCATCCATTATTAAAGCACGAAGCTTTGAGAGAACTAAGCTTATAATAATCTAATCTATCATTTGCAACATAGTAGTGGTACCTGAAATTAAAATGTGCCGAGACATGAAAAATACTCTTTTGCCTTTATTACTACTAAATAATGTGTCAAGATGACTCCATATAGAATTCTAACATGATGTGGGAAGAAAGTTCACCGAGCTATTTCAGATCATGTAAACAGAAGGCTGTTACATATCCTGCAGCCAGAATAATAACATAAGGGCAAATGAGATAAATTAATATCAGTACACAACAGTTCAGAGTAGGGGGAAAATGATCAGATGGGTGTTCTGAATTGAAAATTTAGATCTCATACAACACAAAAAGGCTCATTTCAAACAACCCAACAAATTCATGAAACGATGGTGCATGGCAAGACTTACTGAAGGTGTGGAACCATCGTATGGATTTTATCCTGCCTTGCAATCTACCAAAAGCCTTTTGGCATTCTGGATGTATGATGTCAGTCCACCAGGATAGCTTGAATTAAGTCAGCAAAACTGCACAATGAAAACTTTAGCAGGAAAAGAACAATCTTTACTTTCTTACGCACTTGTTCATATGAAATCCCATTGACTTCAAACAGAAAGCTACTAACAGACAAGTTCGCATGTGACTTTCATATAAAAACTTATCACAATAAAGTAGTTAGATATTTTTGGTAGTTTGTTAGTAAATGTCCCTTGCAAGTATGAGATCCATCATCGATCCAACATAGGCAGTGAAATATTTCAAGGATACAACCCAAGACACACCTGGTCAAAGAAGCTTTTCTTCTTGTTGTCATCAACACAGCTAGAAAGTTCATTATGTAGTCATGCACCTATAAAAATGACCAGATGATATCAATAAGCCAAGAACCTTCGATTCTCCACACCATATAAATAGGTTGGCTCGAACGATTTGCTTCTTTTCTGAAACCACTTTCACTATATATTTGCGTCAAGAAACATTCACGAAGAAAATAAAACTGACTTTAGAAATAAAGAAAAAGAAATTTACTCATGCAGTAAAGAGCATTAAGCAACCAACTTATCACCTCCAAAGAATGAAAGAAAAACAAAAGTATACATTCGGGAAATCTCAAATTTAGGCCATGTTCTAATTTGGAAGTTCAGTACCTTAAGATCCATGTGAATACTATACAGGTCGTATAATTGCAGAGGTAAGAAAAATAGAATTGTTATGTATAGATACAAAATAAGAAGAAAAGATAGGTGCTTAGAACTGGCAGGTACAAACATAAGGAAACAATTAAGCACACCACAGCAAGGATTCAACACAATAGTAATTTGTCTAACAGAACAAACTGCAGAATTAAACTGTATACTCAACTATCTTTGGTTCACATTGTATATGATCTTGTTTAAAAGTCTTGAGTTTAAAAGGGAACAGAGATTGCAGCTGATAATATAATCTTGAGTTTAAAAATTATATGCATTGTCAATACAGGTGGATTAGGTACACTGTCAACACATCATTCTACCATAGGTGCTCATGCCGCTTGATACTTCCTCTTAAAGGTTCCCACTCCATCTAAAATGCCAAGACACATGGGGAATTACAGCTAGCAGTGTTCTACTACAACTTTTCATATAACTTTTCTTTAAAAACAAAATGACATATTTTCAATGAAGAAATGAAAGATCAATTATTTATTCTTTCAGTGCCAATGAGCAAAGTTGAAGGATTCACCCCGGCCATACTCATAGAACCTAATAGCTAAACAGTACTGTATTATTTATTAACCTGATAACATCGTAGTATTAGCTAGGTCCTGACATTCAAATCCCTAGTTGGACACTATCACAGACCATGGGGTGATGCAGCACAGAAAATATATGTGAGCATTCTCAAATCATAACCAAATTGAAAGTAGAAGATTTATCATGTCATTAACATGTACATTATTCTTTTCATTTATCACAAAAACAGGAAAGTGAGTCTATTCGATAATATATGCTTAGGATATTTAAGAAACAAACTATATGGAACAACAAAGGTTGTAAACATACCTAAAAAAAGAATTGTAAATGACAGAACCAAGAAGCTGCATATGTATTTGTTACTTCAACCATGAACCCAAATTCCTGACTACGTAAGAAACATTTTTGAGATTCTAAATCATCTTTGGAAGAACACTGGCCCTCTAATGATATTGGAATATTGCCTCAGCATCAGGGTCATGTTTAATCCTTATTTCTATCTCAACACCATCAGCCAACACAAAGGGATCAGCAGTCAAATCTATCAATCGGCTAACCTCCAGGAGAGACAGAGAGACTGCATAAACATCCAATCCTAGAACTGACAAAATCTACACACAAACGAATTTACATCAGCCTCTCAATTTCATCTCCTGCAATAAATTAAACATGAATTCTGCCACTACAAAGCGCATCAATCCAAAACAGCCTCCTAAATGCTCAATATACAAAATCCAAACAGATGTTAGATCGACGCAGGAAAGCTATATCATCATAGCCATTCATGAACATGTAGGAAGGAAACCGTTATCTTGACATCTGAACTTGCCCTATATGACCCATAAGTTGAAACCAGTAAAGAAGTGGGGAGTAACCAAAAGTACAAACTGATAAGTAGATAAATAGTATAGTAGAAGAAAGATATTATAAAAAGTAAAACAACAACTGAAACAAGCAAACTGACCCGAACCCGATAAAATAACCTAAAATAAACTATCCAAGGGACAGCAGAATGATCACAGCCATTCAAGGAAAAGTAAAAACAGAAAAATAAAAAGTCTGAATGCACCAAACTGGTTCCCACCATGGACAACAAAATAATGAGAAGGCAAACCAAACACCACGAGA